TTAATGTTATTAAAAGAATCATTTTTGAATAAAATAATATATTTGATTGAATAACATTACATTATAGTTAAATAATTACTTAATTAATTATAATTTTATAACATTACTTAATTGATTTATAGTATAATTAATTATATCATTACATTAATTGATTACTACTTAATTAATTGACTTATAACATTTAGTATATTACTTAATTAAATAATTAGAAATTTAATTAATTATAGCATTACATTATAGATTTATAGTATAATAGTTAATTACTTAATTAATTATAACATTTCATTACAAACATTAGTACAATACTTAATTAAATGATTAAAAATTTAATTAATTATAATATTACAATATAGATTTATAGTATGATTACTTAATTCACTATAACATTACATTATAGTATGATCACATAATTAATTATAACATTATATAGTTAAATTATTACTTAATTGATTATGACATTATATTATAAACATTAATTATAACGTTACATTATAAACAAAGGATTACTTAATTAAATGATTAGAAATTTAATTAATTAAGCATTATATTATAGTTAAATAATTACTTAATTAAATTATAACATTATTACATTACATTATATTATAGATACTTAATTAATTATAGTATTACATAGTTAAATGATTACTTAATTAGTTATAAATTTGTAACATTATATTATAAACATTAGTAATTTACTACATTATTACATTACTTAATTAAATGATTAAAAATTTAATTAATTATAACATTACATTATAGAGTTATAGTATGATTACTTAGTCAATTATAACATTTCATTATAGATTTATAGTATGATTACTTAATCAATTATAACATTCCATTATAAACATTAATATATTAATTAAATGATTACAAATTTAATAAATTACAATATTAAATTATATATTTATAGTGTGATTACTTAATTCATTATAACATTACATTATAGTATGATCACATAATTAATTATAACATTATATAATTAAATGATTATTTAATTGATTGTGACATTATATTATAAACGTTAGTAATTTACTACATAAACATTAGCACAATACTTAATTAAATGATTAGAAATTTAATTAATTATAACATATTAACATTACATTATAAATTTATGGTACGATCACTTAATTAATTGTAATATTACATTATAACCAAATGATTACTTAATTAAATTATTACGTAATTAATTATAATATTATTACATTATATTATATTATAATTACCTAATTAATTATAGCATTACATAGTTAAATGATTACTTAATTAGTTATAAATTTATAACATTACATTATAAACATTATTAATTTACAACATTAGTCATTAGTACATTACTTAATTAAATGGTTAAAAAATCTAATTAATTGTAACATTACATTATAAATTTATAGTATGATTACTTAATTAATTATAACATTACATTATAAACATTAGTACAATATTTAATTAAATAATTAGAAATTTAATTAATCATAACATTATATTATACATGTATAATACGATTACTTAATTAATTATAACATTACATTATAATTAAATAATCACTTAATTAATTACAATATTATTATATTACATTATAAACCATTATTTTAAAACCCGGCCTGGCTCGGTCGGTTGAACCGGTTGAACTCGGACCCGGAAGCTTCAACGGGCCGGGTTTATATTTTTCCTATTCACCCAAAACCCTAGGATTTGGGAGGATGATCGGCGAACAATTGACGGCCGAAATGTTAGGGTTTTGAAGATAAATCTCCGGTGAATGCAATGGTGGTGATAGAGTTGATTTCCGGTGAGTAAATTGACCGAAAATCAAACAAAACTGTCACGGTAACAATGGGATTTTTCCGGCAATTGGCAAGGCTAATAAGGGTGGGGTGAGGTGAGGTGGGTTTTGGTCGGGAGGAAAAGGGGACTAATTCTTGGGCCATGGGGAAGGTTTTCGACGCCAACGTTGATGAGGTATGGCCTAGAATGCCGACGTCGGTGAGATCTAGCCGAAATCAAACCTATTTCGGCTAGATCTTGGGTATATTTTGATGAAAATGGGCTTAAGGGATGATTGGAGTTGCATCTGGGGTGTCATTGCCACCAATCAGTAGCCGATCGATTTGTATTTGGGGTGTGTTTGATAAATTTCAAACCTATAGGACTTAACGAATTTTTAGGGGTATATTTGCTGGATTTTAAAAGTTTTTGTCAACTGGTTTGACCGCGCTGGTCAAACCAGTCAACCCAATACTTGGAAGCTTTGCTGGGTTTCACCCCGGGTTGGGTTTTAAAACATTGTTATAAACATTAACAATTTATAACATTAAATTAACAATTTACAAATGAATAATTGTTTGTGTATTGGTTTTGATTAAGAAAATTTATGTGAATTGTGTTGAATTGATTGAATTCAAGTGTTGCCTAGAGATTAGAGGATTTATGAGTTACATTGGACACAAATAAATGAGTAATCAAAATTTGTTAGGGGTGTATTTGTAAACTTTTAAGGTATTTTTGTCATTTTTTAAACTAATAGGGGGTAATAATTTTGTACAGGATACTTGGGAAAGGAACCAAAACCTACATTTTAGTTTCCGGTTTCTTGAATTTAAGAACATGCACTGTACGGTTCCGATTCTCTCGAAAAATGCAGGGTACTGGGAACCGTTCACCCCTACACGTAGCTGTGCTGATATAGATGGATGGAAAGAGGATAGTCATTACTTTTGAGTGTGAGAAATGAGGGTCTTGACTTTGAATTCAAGTTGTAGCAAGTGCAAGGGGTGGCCAACAATTATCATACCAAAAAAAAAAAAAAAAAAAGAGTATTATCACGAGAGAAAGTTTTATGTGTATTCTATTGCAATACAATATAAATGATAAAATAGGTTTGTATCATTAGGGGGCGTTTGGTTCAGGAATGTTAGATTACTGGGAATATTGGATTACTGGAAAGATAGATTACCTTTGAAGATTACTGTTAATCTTTAAGAAAATATGTTTGGTTAGTTGTTGGGTATGTTATATTAATATGTTTGGTAGGGAGAATAAATTGATGGGTATGTTATTTAAATTACTAAATTGNGTCTCCGCTGCAACTCTATCTGAATATCTGGATCAAGATTTATAATCATTAGAGGGATATAAATCTAATAACAACTTGGCCCAAAGTATGGCCGAACAACTTTTAGTTCAATTACAGTTTAATTACAAAGTTAAAGTTAAGCATTAGTTGCAAGAACACTCCTTGTTGTTGCAACGCTTCAAACTCTACCCTTTGATCGAACTACAAACTACCATAATAAACTTCACATTCACAAGAACACTTGGTCAACCTTGAAGACCTCTCAAGGATCAATCACTGAAGACGCACTCCATTTGAATTAGCTTGAAAATGCTTCAAGCAGCAGCTACGTAACCAACGTACAAGCAAGGACAAAATCAAAATATTTGAGGAAGTTATTTGTAAGCCTACCTAAGCATATGAAACTTGATGTAATAAAAAAAAATAACCTTTTAGAATATGAGAGTACTTTCAAGAGAATTATAAGGCTTAAAATAAAATTACATTGGAGAAGAGATTATATAGAAAATATTTGGTCAATGCAAGGGGACAAGTGGCCAACAATATGTTTTATGGTTTTACCTTTATGAAAAAGTTTATTCCAATTCTCTTGGGACCACCGACATTTGTAAACAAACTTTCCAGCACATTACATGAATAAATGACAAGTGTCATGCATCACAAACAATATATCGAAAGAGAATAAAAAACAGTTTAATGAAATATTGAAATGCAATACGTGTTATGCAAAATATCTGACAGATGCGTGTGACCACTTAGGCTTTGAAGTGCCCACACGATATAACATAAAACTGACTTAATTAAAAAGTGGCCACTTTGACAAAGAGTTATCACACTAGAAATTCAAACAAAAATTATGATACAATTTTCAAAGTAAAATGTTTATACCATGGCTAGTGTTATCACACTATAATCATAAGTTGACCGATAACTTACAACAGAGACCAATAATGACAAAATAACCCAAAAAAATCTAATGGAGGTGAATAATTTTTCACAATAAGATGGTATAATGGTCAAATCATTTTAACTCTGTGATTAAGGTTGTCCTGCCACCAGTCTTAGTTTTATCTTCAGACTAAAAAAAAATAGATTTGGCTAGATCAAGCTAAAACACAGCCTAGTAGGATTTGGTTTCGCGAAGTCAAATCTGGCTTCGAAGCCAAATCCAGCCAACCCACGAATGGCTAAACCCAACTGCTATGATCAAAACTTTTGTATCAAGTCATACATATTCACCTTTACACCAAACCTAAATTTCATGGCCAGCACCATTTTGTTTATTATTGTTGACTTATTTCAAACACATATATGGGTTATCCTTTCACAAAGGAAACGGAGATCAAAATAATCTTTACTCATAAACTTATTACGGTTAACATCAGTGGCGAAATGGCCACCCCAGACCCCAATTTTTTTTTTTTAAATTTCGTATAGAAAATATCATTTTAATCCCTATAAATTTAACTTTTTGCCACCCCAATTTTTTAATGTGAATTTTAGCCCTAACTTCCTAATTTCTTTCTGGCCTGTCATTCATTAAACATTATTTCTTTAATAGTGAGGGGGACCCTTTTTTGCCTGTTAAGTTAGAGAATAAAACAATTTAACCCAAAACAATCATATAAGTTATTAAATTATCCAAAAGTCTAACCCGCGTTAAAGAATGTTAACCAGGGGCGGAGCCAAATTTTTTTTCTGAGGGAGCCCGAAGTATTAGGGTATCACTTGATGACAGAGGCCAAACCAAAGCTGTGGAATTGGTCTCAGCCGTTTGTTTTTAAATCACCTTGTTAGTTGAAGAGGCTGCAGCCGTGGAATTTGTCCCAGCCGTTTGTTTCTCAATTCTCACAGTAACACGTGTAAAGTTAAAACTTAAAACCACAACTAGTAAACCCTGGAACAAACCTATCAACACAGCTCAGTGTTTAACTTAACTAACTCATCATCATGGCCGGAACTCAATTGCTCCCTAAAGAATACGGATACGTTGCTATCGTTCTTGTCTTTTACTGTTTTCTGAATTTCTGGATGACCTTCCAAGTCGGCAAAGCCCGCAAAAAGTATGTTTCTTCTCATCTCCATTTTTCTCTTTATTTTTTCCGGGTATTTTTTATCTCCACTGATCTTTTCTGTTTGGAAAAAAAAAAAAAAATAGATATAACGTTCCTTATCCGACCCTGTATGCTATAGAATCTGAAAACAAAGAGGCAAAGTTGTTTAACTGTGTTCAGGTAATTGACTTGCTGGAAATGTTACCATAGTAATCTTTGGGTGATTCTTTGTTGTAACGAAAAAATATTTGTGTATTTGGATTTGGTGGTGCAGAGAGGACATCAGAACTCTTTGGAATTTATGCCTATGTTCTTCATGCTGATGATTTTGGGAGGAATTAGTCATCCTTGTATATGTGCTGCACTTGGCTTCCTTTATATTGTTACTCGTTTTTTCTATTTCAAAGGTTATGCAACCGGTGATCCTCAAAAGCGCCTCACTATTGGGTTTGTTTCTTCTTTCTTTTACTCAATCACTTTCTCATTGTTTAATAATCTCTATAGATACACTTTTATATACGAGGATTTTGTTTTTATATATTACTTTTATAAATATTCTAATCCACATACTTGTGCATAGATAAAATTTTAGTGTCTTAAGTTTTAAAATGTAGTTTTTAGTATTGATTTTTACTACTGAGGAAAATTAAATCCAATATTGTGTTGGCAAATATTGTAATCTGCTGTTGTGTGGTCAATGACAATACAAGACAATGAAGGATCAGAAATGTTAAAAATAAATGAATAAATAAAAGGATTAGACAGGTCTTTTGATGTTTATTCTTGTGTAGCGTGTCAATGAAAATTGTGAAAACATGATAGCTAACAATTTTTGAAACCATATTTCATAGTTTACAATGACACTTGAATATTGCATCCTCGTACTCCTTTGATGTTGAAAGAGGGTACTTCATATGCAAAGGGGAAAGGTATAAAAAGTTTCAACTGGGATGAATTCCTATTGAATCAGGCTGACGTATAGAGACAAGTGTGATTGAAATGTGAAAATATTGGTCCTCAGTCAGTTCAATTTGATATGCTAAAATGTTGGTTTCTAGTTGTGTAGAGTTTGAGGAGTCCATTTAGTCTTTTCCTTTGCTTCTGCTTCCTTGAACCCTTGGCTGTGGCAGTAAATGATATCAAAATGCCGGTTCAACTAAAGGGCTGTAAATGATGTCCATGAAAATCCGCAGCTTGTTAAGTAACTATTGCCATTAGCATTTTATACGACACTTAGATATTAAGCTAATAGGTGGCAAAAGGAAGCACCTCAAACTAAAAAAAAGGTCAAGTTGAAGGAACGCTGCATGTAATAACTTTGCTTCTAAAGTGAAAACACTGTTGAGAAATGTTAAGTGAAATGTCTGTAGTCTTGTAGAGATTTGTGAAGTGAAATTTCAGTGTTTAAAATATGACATGGTATCTTATACAGCTACATACACTTGTATTAATTGTAAAATGTACAATTTAGTAAGGCAAAATAAGCACAAGATGAGAAATGTGAAGTAAATTCCTAATGCAGTTGATACCCCTCACTTGATTGCTTTTCTTTATGATACTATGTTTATTCTCTATATATCCTTGTCAAATATATCAACACAATGAACATAGCATAACTATATACACATTAACTTACCTGCTAGTCACTATGGTTTGCTGATCATATTTTTCTTCAAAAGTATGCAATGTTAATACTTGTGGATCTCCCTTTTTATGTTCATTCCTACTTATAAAATCTATCTCCAGAGTACAATCATGAAAATCTATAATAATGAGTGAGGATGATTACGTAAATCTATCCCAGAGAAAATGGAGGCATTCATTGTAACCAAAGAAAGAAAATTGGATAGTCTAATTCCAGAGATTATAAGCCATGCATTTTCTGAAAAACAGTTTTGCACTGCTTGGTAATCCCTGATATCTGATCATTAGGTTTTTATGCATAAGAGGGGGATGGGAAGGAATATATCTTCAGTAGAGTGGTGATCTCTTAGCAGAATTTTGGGATATAATTGAGTTTTCACTGCTGGCTCTTTGAGGATAAACCATTGCCAATATCAGTTGCTATTAGGGATATGAAGAAAGTGAAAAGTTTGATGATAACATGTTTTTTGCGAGGATTATCAATTATTAGATAAACCTAGGATATTGTATGGTATAATACTAGATGTATTTGAACCATTAGATGAAGATGAACAGTTATTTAGAAAACATTTTATCCAATGATGTTAACTCCCTATTGTACTAACATCATAGAATGACTGCCAATTATTAGTAGACTTCGTATAAGCTTCCTTTAAAGAAGATTTTAGAAAATGAAAAATCATGAAAGCTTAATTTACTATAAAAGAGTGATGAGCATTGTTAATGTTTGGGTACTCATAAAACTAGTAAAAATCCATATGAAAAAAAAAAAATAAAATTAACATATTTGTTTAGTTGTAGTTGAAAGGTGTCGACTTGATCTTGAGCTTTTTGTAACTCTCACAACAACTATGTTGAAACCTTATGTCAAATACAAACTGGAAAGCTCTATTTACAGTACTTGGAATACTGAGTTTGGTGATTTATTCAGTTCATTTCTTTTGTTCTTGTACAGGAAATATGGATTTCTTGTTATAATGGGGCTTATGGTATGCACAATTTCGTTTGGGATACAGCAGCTTCGCGGATAAACCTCTGCACCTCTGCGGTTATTAATCTTTAATATCCCATGACTTGCCATCTCCATATATATCCTCTTTTTATAAATATATCTTTTGTTTTTAGGTGGCAAAGACTGCAGTTTTATGTTCTACGTTATACTAGAATTATAAATCTGAAAGATAGTTGAATGATAAGGTTTTCTATATCTGCCTTCTGTTCTGTAATGGTCAAGATTGACTAAATTTGTGAAAAATAAATATTGCCCTTGTGGATTTTGCATGTTATTGTGAAATTGAAGAATTGTATGTTTCAATTCATTGATTTATCACTAAGGAGTTGCAGTCTTTATATAGGGAGTGTACGATATCTTGAATCTCCTAATTATGTCAGTTACAGATTATATAATATTGGGTGGAGATTACATAATATTTAGAATATTCTGAGATCGTATACTTGTTATAACTAAAAGATTATAAAAGATTTACAGGATTACACAATATTTAGGAAATCTCAACAGTTATAATCTCTTCATAAGATATTGTCATGATGTTCAATAACTAGAAATTTGTTGATCAAAACGGGTCATGTTAGTGTTATACTAAAAAGTAGTATCTCATCCACTACATACTTGATTTCAAAAGCAGATCAAAGTTGTGATGTATTCTTGGCTTAATTCGACTTTCGTGTGCATACTCAAAGATGACATGAGAATAGCCAAACAATTAATGAAACAAGATAGGAAATTAAAGGAGAGTCTTTGGAGTGTTGAGAATTTATAATTGGCATTGCTTTATGAACCAGAAGAGAAATGATGATTTTGCTTTAAGAAAGCAAGCGAGGAAACAATTCTCATGTTATCTTGATCAAATCTTAAATACTCAAAGTTGTTCCCCAAATGTTTGGTCTTAAAATATTTATTCGTTGCTCACCTAGCTGTGCCGATACAGATGGATGGAAAGAGGATAGTCATTACTTTTGAGTGTGAGAAATGAGGGTCTTGACTTTGAATCCAAGTTGTAGCAAGGGTAAGGGATGGCCACCAATTATCATACCCAATTAAAAGTGCATTAATGTTATTAAAAGAACTATTTTTGAATAAAATAGTATATTTAGTTATTTACTTCAATTATCAAGTTCTAAATATATCTATAGTAAATTAGTACTTAATTAATTATATATGATAAATTGATAAACATTAGTATATTACTAGACAAATGATTACTTAATTAATTATAATATTATATTATAAATATTAGTAATTTACTACATTAGTACATTACTTAATTAAATGATTACAAATTTAATTAATTATAACATTATATTGTAAATTTATAGTATGATTACTTAATTAATTACAACATTATATTATAAACTGTGATAAATTGATTGTATTCAAGTGTTGCTTAGATATTAGAGGATCTATGAGTCACATTGGACACAAATGAATAAGTAATCAAAAGTTAAAAACTACTAAATGCATGTTTTCTTAATTTTTTAGGGGTGTATTTATAAACTTTTAAGGTATTTTTATCATTTTTTAAACTAATAAGGGGGTAATTGATTTTTTATAAGGTACCTAGGTAAGGAACTGGAACCTGCATTTCAGGTTCCGATTCCATGAATTTAAGAATCGGAATCGACAGGTTCCGGTTTCGGTTTCTTTTGCTGGGAACTTACACTGTGTGGTTCTAGTTCTCCCAAAAATTATAAGGTACCTGAAACTGCTCACCCCTATAAATGAAAGATTAGGTGCGGCAGAAACGGCTTTGATTGAGATAGATTTAAGGTTTTTGAATTTTCTTAAACTTTTATAAATTCCTTATTATAAATTTTTTAATCTTTTATTTAATTTGTCCGCTTTTACCTCATTGACAACTTTAATGGATTGTTTGTCGGTTTTGACCAGACCTTGAAGGTTTTAAAGTAATTATTTCAATAAAATGTTATTCTTCAAAAATAAAAACTAATTTTTCTGTTCATATGCTATCTAGTGTAAGATTGATAGTAGGAAATTGACGGTTAAATATATTCTTTATGGTAAACAAAAAAATTATAGGTGTCTCCATTGACAACTGATGGAAGCAGGCAACCGTGTGAAGATTATTTGTATGGATACTTGGATAGTATATAGTAACGAATGATTTTTCTTTTTATCTATTTAAATTTTAAATATTATTATGTCTTGTGTGCTTGTTAATTGAATGCACATAATCAAGGACTGATAATATATGTGCTATAAAATATTATAATTTGTGTAATTATTTCGACATTAATTTTCAATTGATACATATTATTAGCAATGGTCAAATTTCAAATTGAACCTTTATTCTTTGGCAAGAGATGTGCATTTACGGTGTCCATGTGATAAGGGAGTAACTCTTAAGATGCGTTTGGTTTAGAGAATGTTAGATTATTGAAAATATTATATTAATAGAAAGTTAGATTACCTTACAAGATTACTAAGAATCTTTAGAGAAATATGTTTGATTAATTGAAATAAATTAGTGAAAATGTTATATTAATATATTTGGTTGGAAGAAATAAATTGGTGAGTATGTTATTTAAATTATTAAATTATTCTTACTTTTAAATATTAATATAATATTATTTTTATTATTAATTTTTGAATAATTTTTTTTAACCCCCAATATTTCAAATTTAGCTAAAACACCTCAACTTATATAAAACTTTAATTTATAATAAAATCATCCCCACCCACCCCAAGCCACTACCGACCGCGAGCCATCACCTCCCACCGCCTAGAGTCACCAAAATTCGTTGGAAATTACTGGGAGTCACCGGGAATTGCTGATATGACCGTTTCTAACCATATTGATGGCCGAAAACGACCATATAGATGACTCTCAATGACTTCCAACGGCGGCCGACAGTGGTTGGCCAACTACCAATAATGGTGGCTAGGTGGCGATGGTAGTCTACAATTTATTTTAAATACAAGAGCATTATTGTCTAAAAACTTAATTAAACAAGGGTAAAATTGTAATGATAGTTTAATGTAAATTGATTTTAAAACAAGGACATTGTTGTCCAGAAATTTTATTAATAAAAGGTAAAATTGTAATAAAAATAAGATAACTAAGTAATCTTATAATACCTAAGAAAATGGAGATAATCAAATTACCTCCAATATTACCAACAGTAACTACTATGAGTTCGTTTGGATCGGGTTAATTCCAACGACGGCCGACAATGGTTGGCCAACTGCCAACAATGGTGGCTGGGTGGCAATGGTAGTCTACAATTTATTTTAAATACAAGAGCATTATTGTCTAAAAACTTAATTAAACAAGGGTAAAATTGTAATAATAAATTAATGTAAATTGATTTTAAAACAAGGACATTATTGTCCAGAAATTTTATTAATAAAAGGTAAAATTCTAATAAAAATAAGATAACTAAGTAATCTTACAATACCTAAGAAAATGGGATAATTAGATTACCTCCAATATTACCAACAGTAACTACTATGAGTTCGTTTGGATCAGGTTAATATTAGATAACTGGGATAATATTTTTTAAATTGAACTGATAACGATTTTTGGTTGGTTTGTAAAAAAAAAATTTTCGGAATATTTTATGACAAACAATAGCATTTGGGGGGTATATTTCCTGTAATTTAATACTTTGGGGGGGTGGGGAACTGTTATTAAATCTTACCTTGGTATTACAATTTTTTTCCCATATTGCCCCTAAACAGTTGAGCATTTGGTCCAAATTAACCTTATATTTATTAATATTTACAAAACACCCAATCATTCATGCAGATACTTATGTCCTCACTTTTTAAATTTTTTGAACGACATTGCCCTTGTTATTGTCATTAGCCATCGTCGACCGCCACTCGAGGCTGCCAAAAGTCCGTCATAATGGCGTACGACCGGTCGTATATGGTCAGTTGTGCACCGGTAAGGCTTTTTCCGACCATGGATCTGTCAGAAAAAGCAAGATCTAGTTATTTCACGACCAAGGATGTTGCTGTGAAATGGCAACTGATCACGGCCAAATCTATGGCACTATCAACATCACGGCTAGATTTATGACATTGCCAACAGTGGTGGCTGGCTACTAGATGTGGCTTAGGGTGAATATGGGTATTTTTGTTAAGTTTAAAACATTTTAATTGCTAGGATTTTTTGCTAAATTTGAAAAATAGGAGGTTAAAAAAAATTATTAAAAAAATAATAATAAAAAATACTGTTATATTAATATTTAAAAAAGAAGAAGATTTAATAATCTACATAACATACTTATTCATTTATCTTCACAGCCAAACATATTATTCACTAATTTATTCGAACCAACCAAACACATTTTCTAAACATTCCCAGTAATCTTCAAAACAATCTTTTATTCCGTTAATGTACTATCCCCCTATAATAAAATATTATATGATCCAAACGCCTCCTATTAATATTTAAAGATTACCAAAAACTTATATTATTTGACAACCAAACATAATAATTAAGTAATATAAGATAACATTATCTCAATAATCATGTATAACCCCTAACTAAACACACCTTAATGTGATAAAGAAAATGCTGCTTTATGCTCCTCAAACCGCTAGTTCCCTATTTTTAAGGATAATAATAAAAACTAAAATAACAAAATCAGCTTTACATCCATCCTAATTCACAAAACGAAGCACTTAAATGAACAATAAATTTCAGGACTCTGGATCCTGCACAACTAGCGCCCAACTGAACTCTAAAGCATAAGTGTCTNTTTACAATAACCTCATTAATATATATACAATTATACATATAAACTTCACCATTTTAAAAACTTTAATATATTATAATAATCTAATCAAATATAAAGTAATATATATATTAAAATTTTTACATATAAAAAAATTTAATATATTGTAATATTAAATTTTTATTAATTAGTTGATTAATTAAGTGTATAATTGGAATTAAGATCCAATTAAATGTGCTTTAATGTTATTAAAAGAACTATTTTTGAATAAAATAGTATATTTGATTAAATAATAATACATTTAGTTATTTACTTCAATTATCAAGTTCTAAGTATATCTATAGTAAATTAGTACTTAATTAATTATATATGATAACTTGATAAACATTAGTATATTACTAGTTAAATGATTACTTAATTAATTATAACATTACATTAAAGATCTATAATATGATTACTTAATTAATTATAATATTA